CTTCACAGCTGAGTTTTACCTGACCTTAAAAAAAAAAACAAAAAACTTCTAAACCAACAACAAAATAAAGAAAAAAAGAAAAGAAAAAGCATGTTAAAAAATAAAAAAAAAATTAATAACACATAATTTCTAAGGGTAATTAAATTGTTCCAGGCCAGACAAAGAGAAGAAGTATGCTGCAATTCAATTTTAATCCTTACCCCTGATGAAAAAAATCCCCCAAAATGACTCCCATCTCACTTATGAATACTGAGACAAGGGTTCTAAATATACGATTGATAGGAGTGCCTGGGTAACTCAGTTGGTTAAGCATCAGACTTCAGCTCAGGTCATGATCTCACACTCCATGAGTTTTGGCCCCGCATGGGGCTCTGTGCAGCTCAAAGCCTGGAGCCTGCTTTGGACTCTGTGTCTCCCTCTCTCTCTGTCCCTCCCTTGCTCATGATTTCTGCCTCAAAAATAAATAATAAAATAAAAATAATAAATAAAGGATTGACAAATGGAATCCAGCAATGTATCAAAATAATATAACACGAGCAGCAGGACTTACTTCAGCATGTAAGAGTAGTTCAAAACCAGTAAATTTATGAACATAGGTCACTGTATCAAAAAGTTAAATGGAAAACAAAATACTCAACAGACATAGAAAAAAGCATTTGAGGGGCACCTGGGTGGCTCAGTCAGTTGAGCATCTGACTTCAGCTCAGGTCATGATCTTGCGCGATTCGTGAGTTGCACTGTCAGCACAGAGCCCACTTTGGATCCTCTGTATCCCTCTCTTTCTCACTGCCCCTTCCCCACTTGCACACACGCATGCACAGGCACGTGCACTCTCTCTCTCTCTCAAAAATAAATAAACATTTTAAAAAATTATAAGAGGGGCGCCTGTGTGGCTCAATCAGTTAAGCACCAGACTTCAGCTCAGGTCAAGATCTCACAGTTCGTGTGTTCGAGCCCCGCATCCAGCTCTGTGCTGACAGCAGGGAGCCTGGAGCCTGCTTCGGATTCTGTGTCTCCCTCTCTCTGCCCCTCCCCAGCTCATGCTCTCTCTCTGTCTCTCTCAAAAATAAATATTAAAAAATTATAAAAAATAATTTTAAAAATTATAAGAAAAAAGCATTTGATAAAACGCAGGAACTGTTTTCTTGGAAAATCTCTAAGTTAATGCAGCATTTACATGCAATAGACTATTTAACATACACCAACAGCAAACAGGGAGAAACACAGAGAACAACTCCATTTAAGATCAGTTTTACAGGGATGCCCGGGTGGCTCAGTCGGTTAAGCGTCTAACTTTGGCTCAGGTCATGATCCCGTGGTTCGTTCGAGCCCTACATAGGGCTCTGTGCTGACAGCTCAGAGCCTGGAGCCTGCCTCAGACTCTGTGTCTCCCTCTCTCTCTCAAGAGTAAACATTAAAAAAATTTTTTAAAAAAAGATCAGTTTTATACACAGCAGCCCACCAGCACCATTTTTACTTAACTCTGAGTTTCAAGCAAAAGCAATAACCGAAGAAAATAGCTGGTATAACCATTGGAGAGACAGCATAAAATGAAAATTAATTTTACCAAAACTAACAAGAGGATCTGATAGGATGGCTGGACCTGAGAACTACTGCTAAAATCAACAACCTTCTAGCAAGAAGCAGTTAGGAATGGAAAGGAGAACATTCTTCAACTCATCAGGGACAGAAAAGCTATTAATTCTTTAGGAATAAATGTATGAAGAAAGGCACAAAATGAGATCTGAACAGATGGAAAGAAATACCATTTCTTCGATGAAAAGACCTACATAATTTTCAAACATCAGTTCTCACAAAACTGAAATATACATTTAATGCAATTCTAATTAGAATCTAAATAGGGCTGATGGGGAGGGTTGAATAAAAGTGACCTTAAAATTTACATATAAGAAAAATATGCCAATGAATAGCCAAGAAAAATATTTTTATGCTAACCAATCAACAAAATCATTTAAGTAATCAAATCAACATGTTTGAGTAGACAGATATATGAAACAGAATAAAGGATCCAATGAATGAATTCTTATATATGAGAAGTTTAGTAGGTAACAAAAATGGTAGTTCAGTTCACAGAGAAAAATAGGAATTATGTAATATATCATGCTAGTACAACTAACTAGCCATCTTTACAAAAATCATCTTAACCAAGACTGGGAGCCCAGAAGCTATAATAATATTTGAATGTGAAAAAATGTAAAAAATCACACAGAAAAACATACTATCAGCCAAGTCAGTACATACAGATCAGGGAAAGATATCTATAATGATGCCGATAGGCAAAGGGCCAATATCTAAAATATACAAAGAAGTCTTACAAATGAAGAAAAATCTAAACAACCCATAAGAAATGGGCAGATGGTATGAACAGACAATTCAAAGAGCTAATTTAATTGGATAAAAAAATGTGAGATAATACTGAAATTCATTAGTAGCCAAGGAAATACATCAAGTTGTCAAAATTATAAGTCATAACACCTTATGCTGGAATGGATATGAAGAAAGTAATCATCTCATGTATTACATATAAAAGGGAAAAGCGAATTATAACAGCCGGTTTTTGTACATCAAAATGGAAAAATCTATTAACATAAATATATATTTATATGTAAACATTCGTGTTTGTGTGTGTGTATAAATTAAAAGCACCAGTATATAAGGGCATATGTACAATGATGTTGATTTCAGCATTGATTATAGTGGCAGCGTTCTGGAAAGAACACATGTAAACATTCATTAATAGAAGAATGGCTACGGTAGGGCGCCTGGGTGGCTTGGTCGGTTAAGCGTCCGACTTCGGCTCAGGTCATGATCTCACGGTCCGTGAGTTCGAGCCCCATGTCGAGCTCTGTGCTGACAGCTCAGAGCCTGGAGCCTGTTTCAGATTCTGTGTCTCCCTCTCTCTCTGCTCCTCCCCTGTTCATGCTCTGTCTCTCTCTGTCTCAAAAATAAATAAACATTAAAAAAAAAATTTAAAGAAGAATGGCTACGGGTGCCTGGCTGGCTCAGTTGGTAGAGCATGCAATTCTTGATTTCCGGATTGTAGGTTCAAGCCCCATAGAGGGTGTAGAGATTAAAAAATAAAAATCTTTAAAAAAAAGAAGAATGGCTACATAAATTTTGTATCCATGAAATATTTGGCAGTTTTGTGAAAGAATAAGGTATACCAGTAAACTTTGATAGATTCCCATGAGATATCGCTGAGTAAAAAGCAAGATGTATTACAGTATATATAAGATTCTATGTTTGTAAAACAATCAATGAACAACAACAGCAAAACATTCCAAAACCCCTGTGTGTCAGTGTGCACATGCATGCATGTATGTGTACATACTTATGAGCAAAGAAAAAAAAAAACCAGAAGGCTACATACTGGTTTGGTAATATGCAGGTGTGGAAAGGTAGAGGTAGGAGCCAAACAAAATAAAGAAAAATAAAAAAAAATAACCACTATAAAAAAAAAGATATCTAGCAATAATGTTTATGTATTTTCATATGCATACATGTATAAGGAAATTGAATTAAATTTAGAAAAGATACAGTAAGAATCCTAAGTAAGATCTCTGCTTATTTAAAAAAAAAAGCGGTAACTGAAATTATTTCTTGGTGGTAGATTAAGGGTGATGCTTATTTTCTTCTTTATGTGTCTCTGTATTTTCTATAATGAGAATTGTTACTTTAATAATAATGAAATAAAACCAATAAATGTTACTTTCTTTTTTTTTTATAAAATTTTTTTTTTATTTTTAACGTTTATTTACTTTTGAGACAGAGACAGAGCATGAATGGGGGAGGGGCAGAGCGAGAAGGAGACACAGAATTGGAAGCAGGCTCCAGGCTCTGAGCCATCAGCCCAGAGCCTGACGTGGGGCTCGAACCCATGGACCGCAAGATCGTGACCTGAGCTGAAGTCGGACGCTTAACCGACTGTGCCACCCAGGCGCCCCATTACTTTCAAAACATTACACTGAAAAATTGAGCTCATTTTGGGAAATCAAGGGAGGGAAACAGGGCTAAATAGCCTTCCATTTAGGGTACAAGAAATCAGGATCCATTTGCCCTCATCCAGCAGAAAGCTACTCACCTAAGGCAAGAGACTAAGTGGCTATTCCAAGGAGCTGTTTGAAGCAGCAAATGGGGTATATTTCCCCCTACCTAACACATTAACGATTTAAGTAAATCAGAAAGCCATTCACACCACTCTGAATTACCCAAAGATCTACTGGGCCCCTTACTTCCTGTCTCTTCCCTCTGGCCTGTGGCCATTTCACTGCTCAGGAACAGCTCCAAAATGGGGGCCAGGGAAGGGGGAAAGAGATGAAATTAATTCGGTCGATTTAGCTTCTCATTAGCAACTCCACTTGAGAAGTGAGATGGTCACAACTCATGGTTAAAAGGAGGGTTCCGGGACTCTTGACAATTTCACTGAAGCCCATTTGCCTTCAGATAAACATGATTTGCCTACAATACACTTTAATGGATTTGATGCTTGCTATTTTTAAGAAAGTCAGAACTTGTAATAAGGTGCTATTTTTCTCTCCTCACTTTAAACTTTTAAGAAAAAAAAACACAGAAACATACGAACAAAGGCCTTAGAAGTGAAGGACCATATCCTCAGTGGAGCAGCTGGACCACAGTGCGATGATTCTTGAGAGGAGGGAAGCTGTCTGGCCCCCAGCATGCTCTCAAGAGAAACTGTAGGAAGCCAGCAATCTTCCAAGGGAGCAGGCCTTGGCCATAAACCACCACCACAAAACACTCACTAAAAAGGACTTGTCAGGGCTTGACAAAAGCCAAGTCTCTCCATATCAGATCTCCATGTTTCACTCTACAAAAGCCTCGTAGACTTTTGTCCCTTGGGAAGCCCCCAGACAAAGTGGTGCAGGCCCAAGATGTTCCCACAGATGTGCTCATGTGCTTTGTCATGAAACACAATGTTCGGAATCGCAATGGTAACAGAGCAAAAAACAATTGTCCCTTACTTGAACACGACGATAGCTCCCGGACACGGAGGGCAGGCCAAGAGAAAGATCTGCAAGTAAAAAAGAATTAGGAATGGTTATCATGAGGAATACTGTACACAGTTAGAAAATGTTAGTTCATTAATAATAGTAGTAACGGTAGTAACAGTACCAATAAATAACCAAACTCTAACACAAAAAATGCAATATAAAAACGTAGAGAGGCAAGCAGGTGGTCTTCCACACGTACTTCTGTTTGCACAGGCATCTAGGTATGTGGATACGTCTAGGGGTGTGTGTGTGTGTGTGTGTGCGTGCGTGTGTGAGACTGGCAGAAAAGGGAGACAGATAGAGACTGAGGGAATGTTTAGGGACAAGGTAGGAAAAGCCTTTTTTAGACCCTTTTAGCCTCTAGAACACTTCCTCTTGACCTCTAGAGCAGGACTCAATTTTTCAACTCTTCAGTGTCAATATGATCCAGCAGCCAGTCTGAGAAGCTTTTAACCCAGGGCAAACAAAAATATATCCTATGAATGGGATAAAATACGCAAATGCCATCTGGTTTGCCTCCCACGGGGGAAGGTAGAGTAATCAATACCCAGCACTGCCAGATTTAGCAAATAAAAAATACAGGAGGCCAAGTTAAATTTGAATTTCAGATAAACAATGAATAATGTTTTTGTGTAAGTATGTTCCATGCAATATTTAGGATATACTTATATAAACACATTATTCATTGTTTACCTGAAAAATTCAAATCTAACTGTGCCTCCTGTATCCTATCTGGCAACTCCACCAATATGGCCACCCCCAGGCTCCAAACCTCCCTTTGATTTTGAAGGGGCACAAATTTTGCCACCCTGAAATATGTCTCTTTGGCATAAGGATGATTTTAAGTTGGTTATTTTTTAAGAAACAGTAGACATAGGAAAAGCTCTGAAAAGTGAGAAGTTTACCCTTCTGTAGGAGACACGTACATTTATAAGGGAAATCTCCACTTCTAAGAATGGCTCCCCCTCTGTACCAGGAAAAGGAGGATGATTCAGACTCTAGAAAGTCTTATCAATGGGGAAGACTCTGACCTCAACCTGCATAATGACCTTACCCTTGATCACCATGCTCTTCCTGGCCTCTTCCCATAATTGACCTTCTGCCCTACACCAGCCACACCACCCAACATCTTTCTTCTGTCTCTAAGGCTGGGGATGGTATCTAAGGTGATGGCTTGGGCCATTCCAGGGAGTTACTCAGTTTTCTTGCATCTCTCCTACGTATACAGGAGGGTATACATGCCATTAAACTTCCATTTGTTTTTCTCCTGCTAACTGGTCTTTTATTACGTGGCGGGGGGGGGGGTGGTAGCAGCCAAGAACCTAGAAGGGTAGAGGGAAAATTATTTTTCCTTCCCCACATTTGACTGGCTTATTTCTAACCATGATCAGGTAGTTCTATACTTCTATTCCCCTCCCGGGGCAAACCAAATGAAAAAGAACCTCGTCCAGGGCGCCTGGGTGGCTCAGTTGGTTAAGCTTCCAACTTTGGTTCAGGTCAAGATCTCATGGTTCATGAGTTTGAGTCCTGCATCAGGCTCTGTGCTGACAGCTCAGACCCCAGAGCTTGTTTTGGATTCTGTGTCTCCTCTCTCTCTCTGCCATCCCTCCCCTACTCATGCTTTGTCTCTCTCTCTCAATAATAAATAAACATTAAAAAAATTTTTTTTAAAAACAACCTTGTCCTTCTAAGAGACAAATCAGTCCCATGCTGCTTGGTTTGACCTAGGCTGGGGTTATAGAAAAACATGTGACAGTTTGACCTTCATGAAAGCAATGATTCTCAAGAGGGACAAAGAAACCCCTGCAGAGCTCTTGTTAAATATGCAGATTTCTAGCTGCCCCATTAGGAATGCTGACTCCAAAAGTCTGGGACTCCAGGAATCTGCATGTTTAACAAATGCCCAGGGAGATCCAACCACTCATGGCAACCAGATAAGATGACATTCAGCAGGACTACGGATTAATCAAAGAACGAAACACATGTTGGTGGAGTTCCTTCCTCTACAGTGATTTATTGGTATGGTTTGCAAAGTAATTGATCTGTGTTCCTATCTTGTTGTAAGCATTTATTTAGAAAGCTTATCTGCATTATGCACTTGTTTGGCTTACGTTGTATATATGTTAGCATTTGGCTCTTTGGTTCTCTCAAAATCTACATTTAGAAGTAAAGGGTACTATAAGCAAAGTCACAAAGAAAGATACCTGCTTGAATCCCTAACAGGAGGAAGAGAAAAGTAGAACAGAAAAGAGGAAGGGTCTTACAAAGAATGTGGCCAGGAATCCACCACCCACAAAATACCTGAGCAGAGAACCCAGCCAAGGAAATACCCACCGAGAACGAGCCTTTCCCCCTGTGGATCAATTTGATTAAAAGTGCAAAACCAATGACAATTACAGGTCCATAACCCTCATCGGCAATCACCAAATCCAAAAGGCTCTAAAAATCAAAAGTTGGATTCTTTTCAAAGCTAATTTGGTAGCAAGTAGGACTTGAACGGATCTGAGACTATTTATAAAGTTTCTTTATACCATTTATGCTGAGTATTCATATGGCTTCCATAAAAATAGTATCTTCTGATTATGGTGTGCTACCATAGACTCCACTGAGGGTAGATGTAAAATACTCCACACTCACCATGCTGCTTTTCTGATTTTTTTCAAGTAAGCTCTATGCCCAACGTGGGTCTTGAACTCATGACCCCAAGATCAAGAGTTGCATGCTGTATGGACTGAGTCATCCAGACACCCCTGTATTTCCTTTCTGAAATCCAGAAGTTTCTGACTTCTGAAATACATCTGACCTGAATGGTTTGGGATAAGGACTGTCAATTTGTTATTTCAATCATCCAAACATTAATATATCCCTACTCCCCTTCCACCCCTCAGTAGCAGTCCAAGAAAGAGTCAAAGCTGGTATTCTCTACCACTGACCCTTGCAGCAAAGCTAGTCACCTTAAGCAAGGGACCAAGTTGGAGGTTTGCACATAGTCACCCAGCATCAGGCCCATCAAAAACCACACTCACAGTATAGAGTATACACAGAGCAGACAGGAGCCCCCAACCACCTGGAATAGCCAAGATACTTCATGCTAACGTGCTTAACAGAGAAGCAAAAACAACACTGGGCCCCACAGTTAACTCTTACTTTTCCTATAGCCAAGAACAGATGAGCAGATTACTGGGGCAGATTTCCCTACAACTGCTCCATTTGGCTGGTTCGGATTCATGACAGCCCTGTGCCAAAAGCCCAGAAGCCTACTAAAGGGAGCGAAGGCTCCAGTCGCAGCAACCCAATGACAGGTCTAATTTCATTTGAGGCAGCTCATCAATCTAGCTTTGACCCTAAGTGAGGTTCCCAACAGTTACTTTCACGTGGCCAAGTCATTCCACCCAGCACTTTGGCCTTTCTCATCCAGCCTGTCTATTCCCAACACTGGGACACAGGGTATCTGCTTGAGGCAATCTTTCAATCAGACACATGTAGACCTATCAAATGAGCAGGTCTGAAAAAGGACTCCCAATTCATCATATTCTAGTTCCAGTAAACCCGTGGCCTCCCTCAGCAACTTCAAAGATTTACAACATTGAACCTCCCTGCCCTAGCCTGCTGGAGCCACATCCATAAGCAACGTTAACCAAAGGAGCCATGTGAAAATAACATTTTAATTCAGAGGTCCGATGGCCCCCCAGCCTCGGCCGGAATATCCCTGCTCTCTTCCTTGCTAGCCTGCCAGCCGCCTCCGAATTTTGGTAGCGTGTTTTAGGCCAGCAGATGGAAAGCTAAACTATCCCTTCGGTTGCAAACAGAGTGGGAAGAAAAGCCACTTGGGAGAGCAAACAAGGACGGGAGGAAGAGGAGAATGCATGTGTGCGTACCCCAGCACCAACCTGGCACTTTTGTACTTGTGCTAAGATCTGCGCAGTTCAGCACCTGAAGAAAAGGGCAGGGCTAGGTAACAGAGATGTGCTAAAAGCATTTCTACTTTCCTGTTGTCTGGGAGATGGGCAGGGCCTTGTTATTAAATCCCATTTTGCAGCTGAAGAAACCTAAGGGAAAGGGTTCCAACAAGAACCCAGATTCCCTAACCTCTAGTTCCACTCACTTTCCACCTCACACCTGACACGGTCCCAACTTCATAAGGGCTGCTCTTCTCTGCTTTTTTTTTTTTAATTTTTTTAAATGCTGATTTATATTTGAGAGAGAGAGAGAGAGAGCGCACGCGAGCAGGGGAGTGGCAGAGAGACAGAGACAGAATCTGGAGCAGGCTCGAGGCTCTGAGCTGTCAGCATAGAGCCCGATACGGGGCTCGAACTCGTGAACCATGAGACCACGACCTGAGCCAAAGTTGGATGCTTAATGGATTCAGTCACCCAGGCGCCCTGTGGGCTGTTCTTTAGACTCTGGACCTGCCCCGTGACCCAATGGCACATGGAGTCACCCCAGGGGCCCCACACCCATAGCACCACACAGCTCACAAGACGTAGTCACTACAAGGTGAGACATTTCCAAACACAACCTAACCAGGCATCAAATTATGTTTACACAGATGGGTTTCAGAGTTCAGCATTCCCTAAAGATGTGTTCACCTTAACTCCAACCCCTCTCATTCAGAACCAGGTCTGCTGGGTTCTGATACTCCTTTCATCCTTTGTTTTTTAAGTTTATTTATTTATTGTTGAAAGAGAGAGAGAGAGAGAGACAAAGAGCAAGTAAGGGAGGGGCAGAGAGAGGAGGAGACACAGAGAATCCCAAGCAGGCTCCGCACTGCCAGCACAGAGCCCGACGCAGGGCTCCAACTCACGAACCACAAGACCATGACCTGAGCTGAGACCAAGAGTCGGACACTTAACTGACTGAGCCACCCAGGGACCCCTATTCCTTGGATCCTTCCAAAACTGAAGTCTTTTCCTGGAAAAAAATACACGGGTTCCATTCAAAGCCATACCGTCTCATATTATGGTAAGCGAAACTGGTCAGAGAAAGACAAATATCTTACGATGTCACTCATATGAGGACT